ATGAGTAGTGAAAAGGATCCAGTTTTAAACATATCGATGTATTTATATGTTGGATATATCTATGAAGCCATTGATAATTAATAAAGTTGTTTTAGTAAATTGATCATTTATCAGTGGAGTTGTGGAATATAGTCAATCTATGTTTGTTGTTATTTCAATAATTGGAAATCGAGAAAATTAATTTTCATGCTTTTACAGAAAATTAATATTTTGACTCTACAATAAATTAGAAATGCACGATACCTTCTATAGTAACGGAAATTGAAACGACGATAAATATTTATTGGGCCGATCCTAGATTTAAATACGGAAATTTACTTTAGTTCCGGTGTCATGTTTGATAGGTAAAAAGCATTGTTGAAAATTGCCTATTGCTTATTCGCCACATTTCAAAGTTGAACACCGTAACTAATGATATTAACATGCCTAGTTTACAAAACAATACATCTGTGAAATATAATTTATAGTCGAAATTTATGTCTGATACAAAAATACTATTATGCTATTCGTACACGAGTTATTATTTGTATTCTGAAAACTAAAAACACATATCACTATCTCAATGAATTTTAGCTTACACAAATAAATAAAATAATAACTGAAAAAAAAAAATTTTCTCTACACTGTAAATTAAAAATCCCATTATACATGTTTAAAATCCACACAGATAATATACACATAAAAGTGTATAAAAAATTCACACATGTAGTACAGTTTGTTAATGGCGATATACATGTAATACACATTAAATGTATGAATTTTATATATGTGAATCATCTCGGATTTTCAGTGTAATATTTTGAAACGATGAAAAAAAATACCCAAAATATATATAAATCTTCTCCAGTGGAATAGTCCGAATTATAATTTTTTATTTTAAAAATAATTTTTCAATATATATTTTAATGCGATAGGTAATGAAATTTTTGCAATGATGCATTGAGAATTCATGAATTTTGAGAGAAAATTGATGGATAATGTAACACGAATGTGTATGATATAGTGAAATTTTCATTAATGTAACCAACGAGCCTCGAAACAGTTGATTACCTTAACATTGTTGGGTGAGAAACAATGAGAAATAATGCCAAAGGGAGAACGTCCGATTTGGATTCGGTCGAATCTACGTGACTTCCATTGTTCGCGCTTGTTTAGTTCCTCAACGATGCCTAAGGTGAATTCACTCGGTGGTGTAGTAAGTGAAGTCCTCACGAACAGCCATTCGGGACCTCATTTTCGATGGTGTTACTTGGAATAGTTTTCAACTTGTTTATCTTTCAAAGTATTTTTTTTTCCTTATTGAATATCTATTGAAACTAATGGCCTAACTTTTAATTACTGCTTCGCAAATGGAATATTGATTGAATAATATCACGAATATCTTTTAAAATATCAACCATTCAGATGATTTTATCTGATCCATTGATGGACAAATTTATTTCAAATGAATAAAATAAACTTTTAATTTAATTAAAATAAATAAATAATTTCATAGAGAATACAATTGTTTTTTTTTATTCATAAAAAAAGACAAAGCAGTGGGAAATTTTTTTTCGCTAAATCTTCTGTTTCCATGTGTCAAACACGGCTTTATTCGATGAAAAACTACTCCAACTTGTCGCATAAATCCATGCATGTAGTTCAAATTTAGGCTACTTAATCACAAAGATTAGAATTCAACACGAAATGTAGCATGTAATTAATGCGTGCTCATAAGCTTGGTTGCATTTTCGTGGTTATGTTTACAACTTTGTACTTCTGCAATAATTCATTTCCAACGCGTCCTAACTCGTGCATGAATAAACGGAGTTTGCATACTGTGTCCTCGTATTACTGTTGGTTTTCATTTCATTATTATGATGAAAATATTGTAAATATTCCTATTCATAATAAACACATCACTTTTCGTGTTTCATTAGAATATGACGAGTGAAAAGAATAAATAAAATTCTTCCTCAATTATGAATTAAATTGCTGTGCAAAACATCCATAAATATATACCTATATTAATATACACATGAATAAACTAATGTAATAAAACGAACAAAAATGAATTGCTTGGGGTACTCATTCATGTCAGTGAGTGAACACGTAGAGAATGACACCTTCGGGGGTTTGCTTATATATACGCTTTCCCACAAATTTCAAAAGAACTGATATGAGAAAGAAGCCTGGAGCTTCCTCGTAGAAACAAATGCATTAGTCAACAGTAGTGCAGTAAATCCTTTCTTTTCGCGAGGAAAGACAATGAATTACGATCTCGTATACTAGTAGCAGAACAAAACTCTTGGTAGAAGAAGATGAAGTGTAAGAGACTCTTATAAGTACAAGAAAATAGCACAAAAAAGTTAAGCCAAAAATAAACAACAGAAAATAATGAACGAGAGAAAATATATATGTGGCCAATGAAAAAAACATTTTTCTTATTTTCAAAAAGCTATAAATATTGGATTAATGTTAAAACTTTTTCGTTTGCTTGTCTATTCCTTGGAATTGATGCTTTTATAATAAGTGTATTGGTCCTGATAGGATGTGTGAGCTTGTATATATTTTTTTTTCTATTAACATTTAAAATCAGTGATATATATTAGAAACATCAGCACAAAATATACAAGAAAATCCGGTTGTTCATGATATTTTATAACAGTATCAAGCTGAGTGAGTACGTACCCTGGTAAAGCCAGCTGTAATGACTTTATGGATGAGGTCCCGTGTTGCTGCACGTGCGCCGTTAACGTATGAGAGAATGGAGTGTATAAGGGTGTATCTGCTCGGTTCATTCCCCGAGAGAATATTTGATACAAAATATATAGATATATAAACCTATATGTACGGTGTAAGAACAAGTAGTGCGAAAGTGCTAACGCATCGAATGTCATATGATAAGTTGACAGGCATTAGTTTAAAAAATGTTAAACTGTTCGAGTATGAAACACTATTAGAGAATTTATTTCTCAAACATTTTTCATCAAGATCGCGATTTATAAACAATTTTTTTATTACTTGATTCTTATAAATATCATTCTTTTAATAGAATGAATTATTTAAATACCTAAAAAATTAGAAAATATATTCAACTATAAATGTAGAATAATTTCAGCATTTTTTAGAAGCTATGTTTTGTCCTGATTTTCCTTAATGTGTTTCCGTTATCGTATATAATACTTGTAATAAAGCGAATGCATAAGTAATACTATCAAAGCTATCATTAATTCAAGCACGTTATTAATAACATCATAATTTAATCGTTAAATAATGGATGATATAATTTAATGTACATGGAGATGATTTTTCTATTAACAGAATGTAAAAATTATAAATTCACTTTTTTATTTCTAAATGTCAAAATATTTTTATTCACCATTTCAAATTTTATATCATTCTTTTTTTCACCTTCTGCGCCTATAGATAAATGCAAAAAATCTCTTCACGTCGATGTAAAGCTAAGTATTGTTTGAAGAAGTTTGTAACATGTGATGGGGAAAGGTTGTAGAGGCCTGTACGAATTTCAAGTGTCATTGGTGTGGCCGCAAATTCATCGTAATAAATGATACGGTTATAAAGACCACGTCGATGCTTGATAATATATGAATAGAAGTACACGAGTCAATCAAATTTGAAAGCATAGTGTGTACAACCGCCTGTTCGGTCCGGATTTTGGTATTTTTCCAAAGTGACACGCGTGTAACGATTTCGAGTGACCACCGCATTTATCGATGATTGAAATTACACGTAATCAATCGTATCTAAATGATCACGTACTCATCACGGATTTAGTAACGATGTTATCCATGTTATGGATTGAATTTTATCGAGATTCTATACGTTTGTTTCCTTCCGTCCCTTCTCCCTTTTGTCATTGTGTAAAGCCAATTTGAAATATCAATTAATGAATTTATATCCAAGTATAATTCCACATTGTTATTTTCGCTATTTAAAATCCACGTTTTATATAACTATAGAAAAAAAAAGTCTAATTCCCTGAGTCAGTGTTTGAATTATTATCTGTCCAAACTTAATTATTTCAACCAGAGAGTTTCGATTTTATCAAAAATAGAGATATAGAAATATCAGCTTCAATATTCAAGATCGATCGTCAATATCCCAAGGCAGAGTAAATTCGAATCGCGTTTTCCAAGTACCTATAGAACAATATTCCATCATGGAGATTTGCATAACGCCTATATGCATTGACGATGAAGCAAACAATCAGAGGATCGATGATGTAGCTCGGTCCAGCTGTACTGCTATTCTGATAGAAATTTATTTGTTTAAAGGCCACTGTCTTAGCCCACATGCAAATTAGCTTTTAACACATCTGTATTCATGAGTTCTCTGCATCTAGAAATCACTCCTTGAAAGATTAAATTATGTTGTTTGAATTAAAAAAAAAATCTTTTTGACTAGAAATAAAACCGTTGATACAATTGTCGTTTACTCAAGAAATTTAGTTTATTATTAAATGGAATGGAATAGTATAATACTAGTAACGTTCATTTTAATTAGGATTATGCTAATCCTAATTGGAATTTTTTGTAAATCTGAAAAGTTACGAGACATACAGACAACTCCATCTCTGAGCTAAATTGTTAATAAAAAAAAGTTATCGACTGAGGGATTATAATAATAATAATGGTGTTGTTGTTTTATACATAACCTCATTAGAAATAAATGTGATCTTGAAATATTTATCGAATTGATAAAAAAAAATTAAAAGAAAAGTATTTATTAAGTACATAAATATGGATTCTATAACTCCTTCTCGATTGATTGATACTCGATGTCAGATAAATGAAATGTTGTCGTCGTCAATGAACACCAAAACTGCAGCGTGTTTATTAGAAATGACAGTAAGTAAACAAATGTCAAGTTAATATGATAGGAAATAAATGGAATACATATAATTGCTGTTAACTTTTAGTTATTTTATTTATCTTCATAAGTTTCTATAAAAATGGAGTTTTATTTCATTAAAGAATATTTACTTGATTAAAGATCATGATAAAATATATTTTTTCGAACATAAACTATACAAAGAAATAACAATTTTTTTCTATTCTTTGGATTTACAAAGCTAGAAATATTTTGCATATTAAGTTCAACGTCATATATAATAAATTTTTTAAATTTCATAAATAACCTTTAAAAAATACATAATTGAAACATTGAGTATATAAAAATAATTGCGAATATTATTCTTCTTCTGACTTTACAGCTTTTTTGTTACGTTTCCCACTTATCTGGACATTATATTTCTTTATAAATGTAGTAACCCAAAGTCCTGAGGCTTTGAAGGCCTGTTTACCTTTTGAGTCCAAAAACAAAGTACCAGCTTGAATAGCCCAGTCGCGTACCATTTTTTTAGTAATTCGTCGTTGGTGTTTTACTGCATCTGCATAATTTGCATAAGTCCATCTTTCAATCATTTGAAAACTATCACGAGTAGAAGCTCCTTTATTGATTTGTCGTTGCCATGTACGAAGTTGTGCTAAAGTTTGTAGCTTTGGAGATCCATGTTTTTGTAATAATTCTAAAGACCAAGTTGGATTTGCTTGAGCAAGTTCAACAACTTTTTGTTTCTCTTCTAAGGAAACTACTTTCTTCTTCCCTGAACGCTTTTGTGATTCATTAAGTAAGCTTTCATGATTATTATGACTGTTATTATTATCATCATTTGTTTTGTTTAAATCTTCAGTGGCTTTTGAAGAATTTCTTGATGACATTGAATATCTTTTCCTTGTTAAAGGTTTAGGAGTCATTCTTGGTGTTAAATTTATTGATGTTTCTGGACTACTTTGACAAGAATTTCCATCTCTAATTAACTCCACTGACTTAACAAATGGTACTACAGCTCTTTCATTCACCACATCCTTTTTTTCATCATTACAATTTGCCATTGGGAGTTGATCAATTTTAATTGTATAATAAAATCCATTTGAATTTGAAGAATTTATTTCTGTGTTACTTAGAAGCTGGTCTATTTCTGAATTCGTAGCAGCAGCTCCAGAAAGTTCATGCTCTGTTGTAGACTGAATTGAATCCGTCTCGTTACTAATCTCTACAGGCACTTCTTGTAGTTGATTTTCAGGTCTTTGGTACATCCACACAAATCTGCATTGCATCAAATACTCGTACATATATTGACCGAATACAGCAGCTCGTCGAGAGATCACATCATTATTAGAATTGGTAATGTAATTATTCTGTCGTAAAAGATCTATGCAATGATTAAGTGCATCAGTAAATTCTTGGGCAGCTTCCATATTTTTTATGCTACTCATGTTAAATTTCACTGAATATGAATAAATAATCACTTTATAATTAGAATCAAAGAACGGCGTGTAGCAAATTGAGAATATGATGAATGTGTATCATCCAAGTTCATACGTACTGTTCAAGTCTTGAATGGCAACTAATAAGAGTTTATTTGAGTACACACATTGGCTTTATTATGAAAATTCTATATTTTGTTTGACAACTTGACTGACGTAGCAATTCAAACATTTTCTATATGAGTTTTGACTATATTTACAAATCAAATTGTCTGCAGCTTTTTTCATGGAAGAAAAATATTTAGTAAAATAATTTTATTATGTATGATTTATATTTAAAATAAAATAAAATATTCTCTCTATTTCATGTAAATGCAATGGACATTTTTCATCTTCGAATTTTTTTTTCAGATTGAAGATTCTCCTGCTGTGGAAGGAGAAAAACCAAAGCAGCAAACTATCAGTATGGAATTACCTTCAGCTACTTTAAGAATTCTTATAGAAGATCTTTCAAGAATCCGTGATCAATTATCGAATTTAGCTAAAAAACAATGAGTATTTTTTTTCTTTTTGTAAAATATACATTTAAATAAATTTTTAAAGATTATTTTATTTTTATTTTCATTATAGTTTTTTTTTATATTTATTCACAACAGAATGGAAAACTGGTCAATAAATAGTATTTAAAAATTCTACAGTCCTAAAATCTTCGATAATTAATAACATAAATTGTAATTTACTTATGATAGGGTATCAAAGTGAGGTTGTATATAAAGGTTATACACGTTGACACGTAAAATTGTCAGCAATAACAGTTTTATTATATTTAATTTGCAAAATTAAATAAATAATGACAGTGGTACATGGCGAATTGGACGGAAGTGCCCAAAACACTTTGCATAGGTGATAAATTAATATAAGATTTATCGAATTGCATTTGCATTAACTGAAATTCGTTGTAAACAAAGTTTTTGATACTGAATCGTATCAAAAGAAACAAGTCTTGAAAGAACCTTGTTATAAAAAATCTATGAAAGCATGTCCAGTAATACCAGACAAACAGTTTGATTCTACTTATTAATTGTATCATGTTACAATAATTAACATCTTCACATAGAGACTTATGCACTAACGATATGACTACAGCTCCAAACCAGCAGAGCATTTATGAGAATGATCATATATTTTAAAATTAAAATCTGGATTAAAAGTTGATATGCCAATTTTGTTATAAAATATTACAAATTATCCATGCGGTCTCGATACTTTTATTTACTTTTCAAACAATTTTGGCTTATGATCATTTTTATAAGCGCATATTAATTCTTATTTAATTCAATATGATAAAAACTAATCTTGATCGAATTTTACTTTCGTTTTGTTCAAAATCTTGAACATTAAAGTTGTATTTTTACATTGTAGGTATATTTGTGCAATTTCAATTTTGGTAATTAACAATTTTTTATTAATTTCAATTTTGTAAATTAATTTATTTACTTTTTTTTTTGACAATATTGCTCGCGTTACGTTGTTATAGTATCTATTACATCATATATTGTCTTTGTACAGCTCGAGATTCATGGTAGCAGTGCCTCCTGAGAGAAAAACAATAGAAAAAATGACTTGGACTTTATACGAAAAAATACATCACTATAAGATGCAGGAGGGCCTTCTGCTGTATATAAAGGTCCACAACGTAATAAACGCGGACAATAGAAACGTATAAGAAAGATATAATGTCTAAAAATAAAAACTAAAAATAAGAATAAGAAAGTAAATTTAAGGAGAGTAAAGAATAGCCTTAGTTAAATTCGCATAATATATTGTGTATTCGCACAATATTTTCGTGTTTACAATAAAAATTATTAGAATTATATTTTTTTTTGTTGTTGCAAAACGATTAAGCGTTAGATAGTCAATTTTGTCAGTTCAATTTGACGATTGAAGTTATTTGTTTTTTACGATTTAATGAATTATCATTATTATTATTATTATTTATCATTATCATTATCATTTATTATTATTTATTATTATTATTAACTTCATTTTCTTACATAAAACATCCCTTGAATAATAGTCGTTGACAAGCGTCACTGTGATGTAGTATTTGTTGAAATTTTCTTATTTATAATAAAATGAATTTGACTACGAAAGTGCATTTGGCGCAAACTTGGCGCGGATTGCCAATTTCGATTGTACAAAGGCGTTTATACGGTATCGTTGAAATATATAATTATGAATTATGTTGACCAATCAATCGATTAATCACGATTAATTGCGATTATCAGCTTAGATGGAGCGCTTGTAAGACTATGTACGCGGGATTGGCCACAAAAAAGGAATGTCATCATACATTATATCAACATTTAATAAAATATCTGAAACATTAACAAATAGACTATAAGAGTATTATATGACTGCCTTAATTGTATCGCTAATTAATAAGTAGTAATAATTTTTAACTGATTTTCAATTTAATGGTTCAACTGATAATAAATAGTTATTTCCAAATTAGTGGTGTTTAATTAAATAATGATTATGCCCATACGTTTGCAATTTTTTGTCATTTATTAATTAACTTTTAAGTTATTTTTTATGTTTAATTTTATTTAAGAGTATTATTGGTGTTGGTATTATTGGAAATGCTTAATGCTGTTTGAATCATTTTTTGAATAGCTCAACATACGTTCTTTTTTTCATACACTCATCTTGCTTTCATCTTAATTACTTTCAACGTCAAACGGGCTCCCGATTACTACAGTTTCATTTTTAATCATTCTATATGCAATACATGTTAACTATTACACGCGGGTATGTCCCAACAGCTTTTCTTATTTATTTGTTAATCTATTTACAACGACTTAGCGCTCAAAATTAAGCAATTCTCTAAAAAATTTTATAGCCATGACATTGTGCGACTAACTTTGTTTAATTTAGTTAAAATTTATATTATTTTTTTCGTTAATCTGTACAAATTTCGAAATTTTTCTTTACTATGATTAACACATTCCATTCGAATAATTTACGAAATTTTTAAATAAAAAATGAATAAATATTGTATGTTTTTTGTACAATTCGAACAAGAATTACATTTTGAATTGTTTGTAACAAAAGTTTGGAAGGTGAGACTTTATGATAATGAATTGATATGATATAAAAATCGAATGGAAGGATAATCCTAAAGAATCGATTTGAATAAAAACTTACTGACTTTTTCGCTATATTTCATATAATTAACGTACATTAAGATATTCCATTAAATGTTGAATTATATTATCAATTACTCGCCTTATGAAAATGCATATTTTAACACTGAGAGGACATGCCCACGCTCGAGGTACTTATGACGGAAAAATCAGTAGGTACGAACCCCATAACGTTATATAACTATATCGTAATATGTCATTGACAAGTATACACATAATAATATATAACGCCATACCTCCACAAAATATCCATGAACATTTTCTTATATCGTTACAACCAAATAATTTAGATCACCGTACAAATAAATTCATCAATATATCGTTGCCCTGAGTGCCTTGGTACCTGGCGTATAGAATTATTTGATTTTTATAAAATATTCATCAATCGACTCACTTAATCATACATATGACATTCATATAAAGACGCTTCCAATGATGTATCCTCTTATAACATTATACAAGTGGACTTGCATATAGAGAACGATTAAAAAAAATTACTCGCTTAGGATAATCGATTATTAATCGAGCGTTTATTTAACGGTGACCTCAATTTTATTAAGACACTTTTCAAACAATTAATCCAGCCACTTTTATTTTTTATTTTACTTAGGAAAATAGGGAGCCCGGGCAGGCCACACGAGGAGCCATAATTCCATTTGTGAAACATTGATTGATTATTGTTTCATTCATTTAATTTACAATTATTATCATTAAAAAATTATTTCTCAATCACAAAATCTTCATCTTGAGTTGTATAATTTGCTTATAATTAAGTATTTAAATAAATAAATCATTTAATATTCAAGAATAATATTTGTACAATTTTGAATGGGAATTTATATTTATAATTAATAAATTGTTTTACCTCAAATAAAAAGATCTTGGTTTGAAAAATAATTTTTCCTTTAAATTATTCTTATCGCATAAGTATGAAATATTAAACCTTTCTGTACCATTGGCCCACTGCGTTGATATACATAAAATCTCTCCACTAAAGTTTCCAGTTAAATTCATCCATCACGACGAAAAGTGAAGATTTTGTCGGCTTAATTGTAAATTGATTAGAAGAAAAGGAACAGTGCCACACACAGAATCGACATAGAAAAGTCGATGGAAGACCAATGGTTTTTTTATTTTTATTCAAAGGTGCAATTAATGCTACTCCTGTACGGCACTGTCTTGAATTGAATTTAAATCCCACAATGTTATCATGCAGTCAAAGTTTATCGCTCGATCGTCAAGATTACATACTCGATGAAATATATATTGAATTAATTAATAATTAATAAACGCATGTGCAATAATACAATTCGATTAACCATAACGTAATTTTGAATAATCCTGAAAGTTTCGCTGTCCGGGTACCTCGCCCCTTTGACTTGAATTTTTTTATTTTCGATATTTATTTAATTGAATTGTTTTCATAAGTCTAATGAGAACCAGGTATTTACATAGCAAAGGTGGCTGCCAGGAGATGAAAATTCAGTAGCTTGATTCTCTTAAAAAATTAGCCTTTTTACATATAGATTATTTGTTCGGGCGAAAAAATAGAGCTATGATAAATATTGTATACCATGTACTATGATGAGCGTGATGCTTATAATATTTCATTTATTTTATTATTTTTTCTTCATTAATTAAAGTATTAATTTATTTCTTTGGTTTTTGTATGTATATGGGCCAGGTGGCATTTAGCTTAACCCGGGGCAACTCGGCAGGATGTTTTACTGAGCTAGTACCGTTAAGAATATTTTTTTTTTCTTTTAATAAGTAGATTCGAAATTATCTAAAGTGCGTAAAAAAAAATTTGCAGAATTATAATTATAATGTATAATATACTCAATGAATTATGGCGCTGGTGTTTCTTTTTTAATTGAATTTATTATTTAATTATCAACATTTTTTTTCATTTCATTTGTTCCTTTGATCGACTACGTAATTTTTAATTTTTTTTTCTTTTAATCTTTAGATGCTGTGATTTTTATTACTGTGATCTAAATATAATTCGTGAGTTCCGGAAAATTTTGAGGATCATTATGCAAAGCCAATATAATTTATATTATTTTATTTAAGTATAGAAGCTTCACACAGCCAAAAAATGAAAAGCACTTAAAACAGTGCTCAACACTATATAAATAAGTTATTAATTAATTATTTAATCAATAAAACAGATTTCGATTGGCTGGAGTAGCGCTGGAAACTACACCACGTGTAGCCCTTATACAAATTTATTTTTAAAATTTTAATCTTTAATTTGTTTAAACCTACTAAGTAGCTTAATTGTAATTAAAGTCATTCATATACATACTAACAGCACTTCTCTTTTACTTCGTAATGAATGTTTTTTTTTTCTTCAGTGTGAGCGGTATTCAACTTTTCTCGTGTTTGATATATTATTATAATATACGTACATATAATTTAAAAAAATTATATTATAAATTTTCGTTCCACCATATGTACGTATAATATATTATTTGGTAATTTTATACTATATTCACTTATAATTTATGAATAATACTTATCATTCAATGTGGCTCAAATTATTGAAAAACTTCAATAATAACAAACATTAATTTTAATAATTACAATAATTTAATATTAATCTCGATTGTAATATCTAAATATATCACTTGAAAGCGGTCAGCTCGATCCACGAGCGGTCGCACACATTGTCACACACCCCCCGTGTCTCGTGAGATGCAATTTCAACATCCCCTATTGCAGATTCGTACATTTCATTTGTTATTTATTATGTATTTATTATTTTTTTTTTTTTTATTTTATATTAACTATTTTTAATATTTATTTATAGTAATTGCATTAATATGCCATAAATAATCTTCGTCAATAGTACTAGTAACACGCACTGATTATTTTTCATTCTAAAAACTATCTAATAATTATTTTTATGGCGAATAAAATTTTTCACAAAAAAATACGAACATGATTTTTAGTAATCTGATTTTAATTTTTTTTTAAACTTTTTTAAATGATATGCTCTTTTTGTTTAAAACGATTTTTACTCTAATTTGTATGGATTTTTCTTCTTTCTTTTTTTTTTTTTATTTCCTAGATTATTATAATTAATTGCAAAATTACTCTTACGTATCGCAACAAGGGATGTGTAACAGCACCGGCACTATTATTTTTTTTTTTTTTTATTTATTTACTACGCCAGCCTGAAAACCCTACTCTTCGGTGCGTTGTTGTTATTATTCTATTATATTAGTAATCAATATAATTTTTATATTATATTTTTTTTTATTCTGCAATATTATAGCAGCAGGCTTCATTTCATAGCAAAATTACACTATAATCCGGAATGCATGCTGGTTTTTTCTGCGTTTATTAATTGTTTGGTCTCAATATTTTTATCGCAATATATTTATTAATCCTTCCATTATACGCTTCCTGGGTGGTAGATCATGTTTACCGAGCTTATGCCAAGTGGAATAAAATGTAATATAATTTTTCATAATAATAAACATAAGTGCATATGCAGACATAAAATAATTATATTAATTTTCATAAACAAATAAAAATGTTAACAATACCGTTTGTTTTTTTTTCTTTTTTAGATTTGTTATTAAAATAACAATATTGGTTAAAAGAATTTCAATTCGAATTTTTTACATGATATATTTGGGAAAATAAAATATATTTTTATAACCTATGGTAATAATTCATACTTTCAAAAATAAATTATTATAATATTTGACGATCAGCGCTCGCATAATGCATTTTTATGAATTTTACGTGCTTACCGCGTGCCAATTCACACGTGTAAGAGGTATAATAGAAACAATGAATTATGGAAGTCCAATGATTTACAGGGGATTTGTTGGAAAATATATGAATATTCCTTATACACGAACTCCGCGTCATGTAATTGAATAAAAATTGTGAAAATAATTTTATATGATGAATTTATAATAAATGACTGTATCGAAATAATAAATTAGTTTTGTTTTTTAAAACAAATTATCTTCTTAAACGTGAGTTTAATTTTCCTAATTGAAAAATATTTGATGAACTTGTTTTATAAATTTAAAATTCTATTATTACAATTTCATCATAAAAAGTATTTTTCACAAACAGACAATTGTCATAAAAATAAAGAAAAATAATAAAAATAAATATAAAAAAATGTTTAACTTTACAATATAATTAATCATAAATGCTCTATGATTTTTATTTCTGTACAGTAATAGAGAATCGTTTCTATTGTGATATCCAACAAATAAAAATGCATAATAATTCTATTGTCTCGCTATAGCAGTAACAAATACGTCCAATAATTAATTAACTATTCATCTGTTTCTCTCGCAGATCCGCCACAAAATTATTTAATTTTGATGTAACATACTAATATTTTTTTTTTATTTTCACTAGCAATCAGACTCGTCAGCTAATAATAATCTTTGTCTGTCATACCCTAACAGCTACACTTATTAACAACGTCCATTGACCTGATTTATTTAGTTTACCATATTTTTTTTTTCTCGTAATATAGCTATAGGAAAGTAATTTTTAGTTGCAGTAGTACATAGTAGTATTAGTAATAGTAAACTTTATCATTTTCATAAAATTCTTTCTTCAATAGCTAAGCTGTTAATTGATGTAATTTTCTTTACTAAATTAGCGAGGCGAGAGATTCAAATATTGTATTAAAAGCACATAACATAAGTCATGTAATTATTGATTCTCTAAAGTCACTAATTAGTTATTTTTCTTTTGTTCAATGTCTTTTGATAAAATGCCTTAGGCAATAAAGTGATTTGTTGATATATTTGCGCGATGGTTTTAATTAAATGTGAGATGAAAAATCTATTTTTTAGTAGTATATTTAAGATGAATTCGGAATGTGATACTTTGATGTTGTGTCCCCTCGATAATTTAACGTAATAGCATTATATTTTGTGTTAAAAATTTATGTTACGATCAATTATTTACGGATATGCGACTAATGGTGACTGATAATGAGACTTTTTATTAGCTCAGTCTCATTTTTTTTTATTAATCGGATTTACTTCTTACTGTCTGAGCTTTACTTTTACTGCATATGCACTGAAAATTTTCTGAAAATTTTTTTACTGCCTAAAAATTTTTTAAAGCCTTGGTTTTTAATCTCGTTTTTTTAATCATTAAATTACTTCAATATATTAACTCGTTATTATTTATTAATCATTAGAATTAATTAAAAAATAAATTACAATTGACAACGATATCGAAAACAAATTCTATAATTTACAATTTACAATAAATATTGCTAATTACTATGATCAGCAATTTTATTTTTTTTTTACTTTGTGATTGAATCATGATAACTTTATATCAAATAATTATTTTTTTTATTGTTAAATTTTAAGAATATCAAATAACTACGGCTTTCTTAATCTTACTATGACTAGAATGCAAATTTACATTTCAGGATATGCTAAAATACATTTAGGATTTGAAACGGAACATTTTAGCCAGACTTGTAATATTGTAACTTGAGGCTGAGCAGGTTTTCTTTGTTTTTATACCGAGGGAAATAAATGGGACGGCAGGAGGTCTTTATACTTGATCGGATCTTCTTCATTCCCTCGTCATTTGATACAAATAGTATTATTTGTTCGTCACAGTCATATGTACGTCGCTGACGTTTTAAACATTTATAAATAAAACTGCCTCCCTTGATATAATTAAAATCTAAATATCTCTAACTTATATATTTATTATTACAAAGCGTTATTATAATTGTTCAATAGCAAAAATAATTTTTTCTACCAACAAAAAAACTACTTAGTTATTTAGTAACATCTTTAGAAATTTATTAAACTTCTTTCAAGAAATATTAAGATACATTGGATAGGATTTGAGTGCAACAATAAAGATATAAATTTTAGTTATAAAAATGTCTTTAAAGTAGCTTGATTAAATAATTTTTTTGATGAATAATAATTTTTTAAAAATAAAAAATTGAATCTTAAAGTAATGGAAATATGGGAGGCAGTTATCAGACGTTGGAAGAAAAAGCACACTGTATCTTATATGTGGTAGTATAGACGGCAGAGTAATTTACGATTATAGAGTATAAGTAGCTAAAAGTAGTTACTAACTGGTACGTGGAATTGGCAGGAAGGACTCAATGTAAATTACGTTACAATTCCGAGCATCCCATTCAATTTTTTTGTTTATATTAATAATCACCCATTTAGGTATTTTATTTTTTTTCATTTATCTATTATTTAATCAATTTCTGCAATCACTACCACTCGGATAAACACTCATCCTATCATGAAACGTCGCCTCAATAAAAGAGTAAGTAAAAATTGAATATCAAATTGTTTCTCTAATTTTCAAGATCTCCTAGCAAAATTTACAATTTTTTAATTGATTTTTTTTCATTTACTGATGCCCGAGTAAATGAGTAACAACAAAAAAATTGATACGTCAATTGTAACGATATTAACTAACTTTTGATTTGATAAAAAAAATTTTTATAACTTTTCGAAGATAATTCATCAGAATCTATCAAAAAACATTTGTGTTTTTTTCTTTTGTATGTACATTGATTAATGAACCAATTGACCTCAGAGAACATTTTTTTTATTTGAGGTAAAATTGATGATAATTAATAAAAAAAGATTATATATAAGTGTAATTAATAGTTCATAGAAGAGAGTAGAAAACAGAAATGAGCAAAGTAGAGAAGAATAGCAAATTGGCAAAATATCATGGGGCGTTATTGGACGAATCTGCCATCCCACAGTTGTTATTACCTATTTACGTGCACCTCGCGTTAGTATACACGTCTCAACGATTGCTAGTCAGGACGTGATTAAGGCGAGAGTCAAAAGCTTGCAACTGCAGCTGAATTACGCGCGAGGGGACACTAGGGTATGCAGGATGGAAGATGGGACGGTGTATGGTCACGTTAGTGTTACGTGACTTTTAGTAAAAATTTGTGTAGCTGTTTTACGCATTCTGTCCGTTTCCTAGTTAACAAAATCATCTAATTTCTTATATCCTTTACATATCTTCTTTTTTAATTGTTTTTCAATTCATTTTTTCTAATGAAAAAAAAATATATACAAAAATTTACCGTCAATATGTCGTATTTTTTTTTTAGTTCCGTTATTAATTCTTTTTCTAAACTCTGTCTCTTTTTTTAACTGATCCTTTCTGCGAGTTGCCGGTCTGTGCAAAAAACGGCGACGCCCCAGGAATGAGTCGGGTGCTCGGTGAAAGTGCGACAGGACTCTTCTTCTCTATTGTATTTTTATTTATCTATTATTACTCTTATTAATCTTTATTATTATTTCATAATTATTCACCTTTTTTATTTATTAAATCATTAGCAGTATATTTACGATACCACCATCGAGGCTTATGTTGTTCGGCCTCTTAATTCTGGTTGTGCGCGAATGTATTCACATATCGTATTTACATATAATTATACATACGCGTACATCCAAAGTTAATTAATTAATATTTATATACTTTTTACATTTATTAATATACGTAGGACTTAAAGCGATATTTAAGACGCACCGAAGCGTCTATATCTCATAAAAACGACCATTTAAAAAATTTGTATTTTTTTTATTATTTTTTATATTTTTTAATTTTTTACTGTCGCAAGGAGCCGTCTATCCTTACGCTGTAGTCTTTTTGTTTCTGTATTTTTTCGTAGAATGCGTTATTTCACGTTTATATAATCGTTTATTTTCAATTATTTAATTTTATCATTTTTTTTTTTTAAGATTAATAAATATAATAATTAGTATTATCTGGTATGATCCCCGCGGCCCGCCGGGGCTCCCACCTGCCCCTTTTGTTGTGAAACTTATCGTTTCTCCCTTACTTATTGACCCTATCATAAAAAAATTCGCCTAAATCCCAAATTCCGATCACGCCCTTCTCCTTCTTTAACGTAACTTTCTTCAATTCTTAACTCCGTCATTGATTAACGAGAGAACGGCGCTACGGAGATTCGATTTGAACACTGGAGTCGGTGGTGTGGGGCGTAAAAAGTGGCAATGTACACAGTATCCATGTACACGTAGGTCCCAATGTGGGAGATGTGCGGTATATACTAAAAGTCTCTTTTATTTTATGCGCGCAACGATATCGGGTGTGTGCAAAAGATATCAACTTGGCGTTCGCACAGCATGGACGTACATGGTAAAATGATGACAAAAATAAATTTTTGTGTCATCATCAATGCGCGGCGTGGAAAAGACCTACGTCAAATACCGCAAGGAGCTGTTGCTACTCTTCAGTAACTGTCCCAGCAATGGCCGCCACGCAGCCACCGTCTCCTTCACTGAAAATTATTTTTCATTATTATCTATTTCATCTTATTTTAATCACTAAATATAAATAAAATAAAGACAAAAATCATTCATTAAGTATGTGATATATCATTGTTGATTGAAAATAATGCATAATCTTTCTTATGAATAATTTTTGTCTCTGCATAGATGTATCATTAATGAATTAAATAATTTACTACCTAGTAGTCAGACGTCAGTCTCAATGCTTATGCAGGTTGGATTAATGTTATTATTATGGCGGGGATTGCAGTTTGGTTTCTTAGTAACCTCTGAATGAGCTATCAAAATACCCTCTTCCAGTTCCATTATGTCTGATGATGACTCTGACATTGAGCTCTTTTTAATGTGTTGACCTACAGTAATAATAAGTTGTTAATGCGTTCTTATTTTATCTTACTTAATTAAATCAATCAATATTTCTAGTTTTAGATTTAAACTAATAGGCACAATTTATTTAATCGAATTGCAAAGAATATTTATGGAAAAAAATATCTACATGATAAACTTGCCTAAAGTGCCAGGGAGATACGGACAGCTGGTAACATGATTGAAGTTTTGTGATTGCATCTCTTCTTGGTCAGTCTCTCGATGATAGAAGTAATTGAAATTGGAGACGATGACTGGTACTGGCAAAGCAATCGTGAGTACTCCAGCAATCGCACAGAGTGAACCAACGATTTTTCCCCAGACTCCCACGGGCCTGAAACACATAACGTGGCAAAATTCAAAGTAACTTCAGTTTTGGTAATTCATGCAATCTATGTGCGAGGTGTGGTGACTTATTGGTGTGCCGTGTCGAGTGTGCTTCTACTTGCCGAAGGCTCGAAAACAAAACCAATAGTCAGATAACTAAATGCAAGTGTTGTTTATCTAATTAAAAAACCAAACAAAAAGTTCTAAACTAAATTGCTCAACATACCTAAAGTATTGTCTATCAATAATTCATCTAACATACTACTGTTTGCGGAAAAATGAAGTAATGCGTTGCAAAAATTCCAATTTAATTCAAAATGATCATTTTGGATTAATTAATTTTAAATAAATTAAATAAATAATTCTTATACAGATATATTTCTAGATAAGTCGAAGTTTTTCAAGTTGAATATTTTTTTCTACTTCAATTGATTAAATAATTCTCTCTATAACTATAATTATTTATTTGATTCTAATCTAATTTCTTGCGTGCTTTCTATTGATATATTATATTCTAATGATATTTTATTGTTCTATTTACTACTACTTATATAGCGTATGATGATTATATCTTGTGAAATTGAATTTAAAACTAGACTTCAATTATTTTTACTAAATTTTTCGTTCTTGTTTTATGATTTATGATACGGCAGTTGGTAATGATACGTTTATTTTCAATTGAAAGTTACTGTTTACGATCACTGATGATATTTGTGTATGACATAAAACAGTGAATGATAAAAGTCAACAACATGCCTCGCTTTCAGCATTCCTGGGAATTGAAACTCGAGGCGCATGCATTAAGTAGTGAGCTGTATGTCCACTCTGGCAATTGTAAGCAGTACCTTACGGAAAATTCTTTGTTGAAACTAAATTACGAGTGGACTCGAAATGACTTTAATTTCTTTTTTTTTTTTTATGATATTCAGTAATTGCCTCAATTTTTCAATGTTGGAATTATTTTTAATTTTATTCTGAAACATTTTTCTTGATATTTAATCCAATAAATATGATGTCATTCATTTGTTAATAACGATTATTATTATTATTAATAATTGATTTTCTATTATTGTGATAACTATTTAAAAATATATAGAGTTTTGTTACAAAACATATTTATTATTGTAGAAATATTGTTGAGAAATTATTGTCAGAAAAAGAATAAAATATATTGATTATTTAACTCAGAAACCATTTAATTGTGAATCACAGCAAAACTTGATAAAATAAATTGAATTAATTTGATGCATTATTAAATCTAACTAAAAATGTAAGGCGGTTTAATCCCATGGGGCTTGGCTTAATGACGTTTTATACAAATTCCACCACTTTCATAGAAAAAAAAACAAAATTTAAGCACCTAGGTTTTAGTTATTATTTTTAATGCTGGTGTAATTACTATATTTATCGTATATAAGATATAAAAATACTAAAAACAAAGAATTTTCTTGATAATCTCATAAACAAGCGAGTCAACGAACAGATGAATGTATTATATGTCGTTGAAATCTAGAAACTAATCAATCAACTAGGTTCAAACATGTCTGCTCTAGTGCAATTTTTTTTTATAGCATTCAAGTGTATTGTAATCATTCAATCATTAAATTTATGAATTGACGGTACAGTGGTTGAAAAAAAAAAGTTGAAAAGAAAGAAAAAAAAATTTCATTTTTTAAGAATAAAGTTTTTCTATGAATATATGTAAAAATTGTGTTTATTTGTATGAATATACTGGGTTATCTATTCAATGCTAATATAACACAATAAATATTTATGGTTGATAAATATTCTATATGACGATGAAATTCTATAAGATTGAACAATAATAATAATAATGATAATAGTAGAAATAATAAAAAGTGTAAAGTATGAGCGTAGTGTAGATATAATATTGATAAATATAAAGATAGGGTTTGAATTAGAATAAAATGTAAAAGCAAAAAATATATCTGAGGATCCGTAATGCTAGTAAAAAAGTAAGTTAATCAACCAGTCATTTAGTGAACTATACAAACGACAACTCAAGAAGAGCATACTGTGGCAATAACTAAAATGTTAATGAAAGTGAGTACATCATACGTCATGTCACCATAGCCCACGGTCGTCATCGTGACAACGGCCCACCAGAACGCGTCCGGAATGGACTTGAAGAACGAATTCTCGGAGCCGGCCTCCGCGAAGTAAACAGCTGAGGAGAATAGCACCACACCTGCAAGACAATGGAGAAAAACGCGTTGAGAAATATCAAGTTTTAGATTTTACCTCATATCTCCGTAGCCAACAGTTGTCATTGTGACCACCGCCCACCAGAACGCATCCGGTATCGATTTGAAAAAGCTCTCCTGAGATCCAGCTTCTGCGAAGTATACCACCGAGCTGAACAGGATCACGCCTGCAACACGATCTCTCAACTACTATTTCAATCATTATCTATCGCTTACTCGAATTACACTGCCCGGGTATCTGGTCAGCCTCAAAAACATGATGCTTCAAATCAATTTATAAATCTCTACGACTCTATTTTTTATCAACCAACTACAGGTAAAATTTTACTAAGAGAAAGCCAAACATCGAACATTTCTAATTTTTCAGTAACATTTACGTATAAATATAATTAAAAAATCAACTAAAAATGAAGAAATAAATGTTTAAATTAGAGAAACTGTTCGATACTTAGTGATTTCAGTTCTAAACTATCATCGTCATTTACATTCCAGATAACGAAATAATTTTAAAGAGAATAAAATACTGATACAATCTAAATCTAAACATTTATTGCTTAACTTGAATGAAATAACTTTTCTTTTTAGAATTATTTCGTCAAGAATTCGTGATCAATATTATACAAGTAACGGTATGAGAATGGAATTTTTACTTACCGATAAATAGGAAAAAGATGAGCAGACCCAACTCCCGCATAGAAGCCTTGAGAGTTCTACCAAGGATTTGAAGGCCTTTACTATGCCTGGATAGTTTGAATATTCGAAATACTCGAACTAGTCTAATGACCCTTAGTATCGCGAGGGACATCGCCTGGTTGGTGCTTTTATCCTGCGGGCTGACCGGGGCCTTTGGCAGGTCAAATTCGTGCTCCTTTCCGGCAATCACCGTGCCTAGTGTAATGAAGTACGGAATGATCGCGATGATGTCAATAAAGTTCATAAGGTCACGGAAGAAATTTAGTTTATTTGGGCAGGCGAGGAAGCGCACCGATAACTCAAACGTGAACCAGATGATACAAATAGTCTCTATTAGGAAGAACGGATCCGTAATGTCCGGCACTTCATCCTCTTCAATTTTTGTGCCGTTCGTCGTAGTGTTGAACACTTTGTAATGTTTAAATTCAGGCAGGGTTTCCAGACAAAAGATTACAATCGAGAGGAGAATCACGAATACGGAGATGATGGCGACGACTCTTGCTCCTTGTGAGCTTTCCGGATACTCGAATAGTAACCAAACTTTCCTTTGAAGCTCATGCGATGGCAGCGGCTTTTCTTCTTCCTTAATGAATCCTTCGTCTTCCCTGTTTGACAAATATTCAATACCTATTAATCATGGATTATCCTATTTAATCCGCTTTGCTTAAAGCTTGAAAGTGTAACTGTAACTACAACATACCATGCAATGTTATTGTCAATACAATTACAGGTTAATTCTCAATAACAAACTAAATTTTATTTATAAAATGTGAGACTAATAAATTTCACTGTGAGCTATTTTTTCTCTCTGCTAAATGTTTCTTTTTTCTTTGAAGAATAAAATAAGAAAAATTGAAGAAATAAAGTTTACTTTACCTGAATTTATTTGTGGCCAATTCTCCCAGCTCATAAAACTTGATTTCTTCGGAGAAGACATCAAGGGGTACATTAACTGGCCGTCGAAGACGTCCGCCACTTTGATAGTAATAAAGAATTGCATCAAATGAGGGTCGATTCCGATCGAAAAAGTATTCGTTGCGTAGTGGATCAAAGTATCGAATCCGTCTGGCCGGATCACCAAGAAGTGTATCCGGAAACTGGTTCAACGTACGCAGCTGTGTTTCGAATCGTAATCCACTCACCTGTAAAGAAAGTTAATTATAAGTCAAAGAGCATTAAGTATTCCTTTGTGAGATTTTTTTCTATTCTCTTGAACGCTAATTATGAGCCGAGGGTAAAGACCTAATGAAAAATAACTACTATAATTGGTGCAATGCAGTCATGTCACAGTTGAGAATGGATAATCCTCCCTTCGTACGGAACATGGCCTTGGTACTATATTCCTCCAGATTTCGAGATGAACTTGGAAAGCCGCCAAATGATGTGTCTAGGTCACTTCTATATCTTGAGATAAGTTTATTCAAGCTCAAGCTCTCATGACAAGGATAAATACAAATACATTTGCTTTACAAACACACAATAAACCGTGATAATCAATGAGATCAATTAGATTGGTGCAAATGAGCTTACGTCACTCAAAATCGTAATCAGTAGATCTCGAAGATAACTAGATATTCTCCAAAGACAATTATGGATAATTTTGTAGTTAGATAGAATTGATTTTACGTGAGCTTTTGCGATTAAATTCACAATGGAACATGGAAATGTCGACCCAGATTAGGAAGAATGATCGCACTGAGGCTTTCTTCCTACCAGTGTGTTGTGATGTAACTTATAAATTGCCTTAAACTAGTATTTTTCTTTTGTTTTAACTGCAATACAGCCACTCATCCCAATAATACTTTCAGTCATTCGTAGTCTGACGGATGGCTAAAGTTTCTATGAAATCCGTCACGCAATGCCCTATTGGCAAGTCAGCCAAAAAATAAAGTAGTACAGACTAAAAGCTAGGATTTGAACCAAATTTTAACTAATCAATCAAATCTAATAATAACAAAGACTATCGCTGACTTTGAAATTCAATCATATTAACTTTTATTCAAATATTTTTATGTTACAATTATTTATCTTTCATCTGACCAAAAGATAGCATACATTTCACCAGAATTTATTGATCAATTTAATTCTATTTTCCTATTTGATAAGAAATGTTGCTGATAAAATTGTATTTATTAGACAATTGTATTATATTACAACATTGGCAACGTTCCACTTGGTAATCAAATTTCTTGGCAATTAAAATTCAACGTAAATAATTTAATAATCCTACTTATTGTTGATTGTTTCTACACCAAATAATTAATTGCATCGAAAACCATTTAAATTTATCTCTCCAATCATATTTTTCTCTCTAATAACGAAATATAACTGTCAAGCAGATCCAACATGGTCGAAAATGAGTTTTATTGATTAAATCAATTTCCTATATGTTATTTGTAATGAAATAATATTCCTGGCTTCTTTAATTAAACGAGACGATTGATATAATGTAACATGGACTGACAGGATTATACGTAAACTGTCAATAATTAGGCCATTTGTTTCATAAATTGAATGTACTTACGTTGATGACGACCCTCCCACAGAAGTCATGATCGTGTGGAATCGGTTCGAAGTGTGTGACGCCTGTATATTGGGTGTGAGGGTTTGGCCCATCCTCGTCCTGGCTGCTGAGCTTCGGCAGCGATCTGCAATATAAAAATAACCAGTCAATAAAATGAAATTGATGACTGCATAGAAACATTAGCATTTCTATGATGGAATCTATTTTCAATCAACTATAAGTATTTTGCCTCGATATTCATGAAGCTCTAGAATAAGATTGGACTGAAATTTAGAAAATTTTATGATACTGTTTGCAACTTTCTAACTTAACATTATAAATGGAAGTTTATTATAATAATTTTTCTTTAAGAAAATCAATAAATAAATTGAATAAGTGATAAAACACTTTTTTAAATCAATTTCAATGATGATAATATGCTTTGATAGCAGAAAAACCAAAGTTTTTTGCCAGTGCTAATCGATAACTGTGTAATTACTGGGTAATTACCTAGCAGTTTGTCGAATATACTATATCCTACACTGTCCCCGATAAATTACATGCTTTCAATAAATGAGTCTATGAATTTTCTTATGAGGCAATTTGCACCGTGCAAATTAGTTAAATGCCAATTAAAAATAACTGAGTCTGACTTGGTTTTATTATTGCTTTACGATGAGAATAAAAATATTTCCAAGAATATTCTATATTAATACTTATGAAGAATTCTTTAGATATACTCAAAATTCTCAGTATCTAAATCTAAATATGTTACAACTATTGTTTTAATCTAATTTTTTCAATACTTACTACGATTAAAGATCTCATTGAATTTAAAATAAAATGAAAAGAGTGTAACCAATAAACTACTTAAAATTTTTCAACATCTACTCATGTGTATTCTACGCATACTTCACGTAGTTGTGAGCATTCAAAAATAACCAACCGCTCTACGAAAATAACTATCATCGACGTTTCCAATTAAAATCTTGTATTTTGAGAATACTCAATGTTTTGAGGACTTCTAGCTCAAGTATATTATCTTTTTTATTTATTACTTGTTAACACTTATTTTTCAACAACTGTTGAAAACTTTTCTATTTTATTTCATTATAATAGTTTGTATAGATTAATCGACGATTAATTTACTTTAAATAAACAAATTAAATTAGCCCAGTAAATTCATTACAATAATTTTCACAAAATAATCATAACACATTTATTACCATCAATATTGTAATTATAAATATTTGATACATTTTTGTTTAATGTTATTGGATAAACTGTTTTATTTGTTTTCTACCTTTTTGATTCTTTCTTCTAACTGGTAATGAAAAATAGATAATTTTGGCAAAGTTGATAATTGGATAATAGGATGACGTTAATTATTTATGAGATTAAAGTGAATTCAGTTAGATACTTATAATTTCAGAAATAAATCATCATTAATAAAATATGACGAGAAAATTTATGAGGTTAAAGAAAATTTAATAACCAAGAGTATTTAATTACTGGCTTCAGTGATTAGTTTAGGATTTTAATTTCACTTAGATTGTATTGGAAAAGCTGACTGAAAAACTTGAACATAAAAATTTACCAGAATAGTGACTTTTAAAAGATAGTTAATATTAATTATTTGATATATAAAAACGATATAAATGAATATGTTTCACAAGAAGTTTACACATCATCTTACAATAAATTTTTCAGCAAATCTGCGGTTGAAGCCGATATAGATTTTATGTGTCGTTGAGGTATGTGATTAACTCATAAGAGCACTCATCACGCTTGTAAATTTTCTCTTGATTTTCTTTCTATGCCAACTGCCAAGATGAATTATACATGGTTCGGTTATGAGTACTTTATTACGCCGTTAGCATTATAAACATCAAAGAAAACTCACTCAATTCACAAGAATCCTTGGAAAATTTTACTAATATTACTGTGAATAATAAAAAGTATGAAAATTACCGTGAAATATAATACGTAAAAAAATTGAAAGGTTAAAAAAAAAAATACTATTATTCTCCAATAATTTTTTTAGTTGGAATACTTGCAGTTTTTTTTTCTCTCAAAAAAATTACTTCAAAAGTATCAATTCCTTTTTATTAGATAGAGTACTATTATAGATGATTAATTAATTAAGAATTGAAATTTAATAAAACGGTACTGTAATTTTAAAAGTAGCCATCAAAATAAGAGAAGACAAAGATTCCAATATTTTAGTTTTGTTCAAGTAAAATAGTGTCTAAAAAGAATAAATAATTTTAGTCGTCACATCTTAAGAAACTTCATTAATGAAAAATATGAATAATAACTTAATAAATTAATAATTAATAAAGTCTTTGAAATGAAAATGAGCACAGTCTAAATTTAGTCTCAATATCTTCAATGTTAAATCTGTCCAACATCTTTCATATTAGGAAGGCTGTTAAGCATACATTTTCATATATTTAAAGGTTGAGAGTGTGTAATGAATTGACAGTAGCTGACGTACATCTAGTAGACAGATATAGTGCTATTATGTATCGCCACATGATAGGCGCTGATGGTGTCTCAAGTCATCACTAATTCAGTAGCTCGTCAAGATCGTCAAGAACTCTAGTGCTCGGTTTTGTCTATCTGCGTTGGCTCCCACTGAGAGTAGAGAGTGAATATATATACAGGCACCCTCTCACTCCTTACATTTAAGCTTCACTATCATCCTCGTCTGAATGCTTGCTCCAATGAACAAAGAAGTAAAAAAGAATCTGGAGCATTACTTCTTTCATAGCTACCAAGGCTCTTGAATGGGGCGTTTAATGCAAGTGGTACTCAAATCGACCTATCGAGTGGTCAGACAATTCATTAGCATTTTATCCCCTACTGTTCTCTCTATATCTTGAATATTGACAACAAGATTTTGTGATTGAGGGATGGAATTATGTAAAAATGCATCTTGTCCTTGATTTCTTATTTCGAAAGCTACTTCATTATTTCTATTTTTAGACATCTCATTTGCATTATTAAAATTACTGAATAAATACCAATCAATATTGTTAATAAACCAAAGTAATTCTGCTGCAGCAAAAAGAAATGTCTTTTTTCTCTAAAAACAAACGATCAAAAATGGGTAAATTTTTTGTAGAGTTTCAATCGCCATAAAAGAGTTTCTTTTCTCTTGGAAAATATTTTTTTCTCTTAGTAACGACGGAAATTTAGTAGGGCTTTAAAAAGCATTTCTACAAGCTTTTGAAGTCGTATATAGGATATTTGAAACACACACTTTTTCATGTGTATTTTCAGAAAACATACCTAGCTTTAGTTAACAGTCGTATCAATAATTTATTGTCTTTATTAATTATTCATATTGTTAACATTACTTTAGTCCATTTTTTTATGTCAAGAAATGTATCTTTCTGTGATTGTTTATAACAGACAACAGCAAACAGTCAACGTTCATGACCCTTGAAGTAAATTAAGTTGAGGTAATTTGAAAAAAAAGACATTTAAGAATGAAACAAGAGAGGAAAAAAAGACTTAAAATCAATTCTACTTGATGAAGAAGAAGCAGTAACAATTCGAAGGGCAGAAGGAGGACAATCATCAGTAACTGGGGAAATGGTACAGGAAGTTTTTATTTCCTGTTGGAGGAAAGTTGCACAGTTAAACCCTTTACCCCTTGAGAATACTGCTCAGACAAAAGTAACCAATCAAAATTTATTGAGGACGTTCAAATAAAAGTCATTTCTTCAATCGATTGGGCTAACTATTGGCAAAGAAAATTTAAGAATAAAAATTTTAACGTCAATTTTGTATAATTGAATTATCATTTAGATGTATTTTATCAACTATAAGTATAAAACAAAAGCTGTAACAGCTTTTACCTAGGAAAATGCGGCACTACGGTATTGGCTATATGCCATGAACACACAACCCTCTCTCAATACTGTCCTACTGGCCTTCTCACCCTCTAGTTGCATCTCCAAGTGGTCCCGTTGGCCTCGTGCCTACTCGTTGTTACACAAACTTTTCCTTTGCTAACCTTTATCCTTCGGTATGTTATTCATACGACATCTTAAGTGAATTGCACGTGCCATCCTCAATATTTCTTTTTCCTGTCTCTCTACGTTCTTTAATATTGGCTAGAGAAACATCACCAATTTTTATGTTACATGTTTCTTGACAACTAGAATAAATACGTCAATAAATGGATTTTATCCAAAAATGAACGAATTTCTGGGTGTAAAAAAATCTTCTACCCATGCAAGTCAATGTAAATATATTTATTGCCAATATTTTTTGTCGATTGTCTATTTTTTTATTGAAGGTTTTTTTCTATATTTGTTGTATTGATAACAAAAAATATTGTGATGAAAATTTTATCTATTTTCTTTTTCCTTCTAGTGGGAGGGGGGGGGAGATATAATTTTGTCACTAGCTGTTCTTTAACACGATAAAATAATTTTTTGCATCAGCAATGGATGCTATTTTATTCATGTATATTTAATCGATGTAACCTTATACGATTATGCAAGGCTTGAATAAAATGAAATATGAGTATTATTATGCATAATTATACACGTGTGAAAGACGTATATTAATTTGTCTCATTCAATGACTCGTTTATTTATTGAAGTATAAATTTGAAATTCTAATATTTTAAAACAGAAAAAAAATCTACCTTCATTTTTTTCGCTGAATAAAATAAATTGAAGAATTTATTTGTAACATTTAAATTTTTTAAAAGATCTTTTGTCGTGTCAATTTTTCATTGTTTCTAATTATAAATAAACAAACATTTTGAGACGTTAAAGTGGATGAAATTATTGATAATTAAAGCTTCAGAATTATATTCTCGGCCATGTCTGGGTCGTTGGGAATCAAAGGGATGCTTAACATATTTTCTACAAGTTTCTTATTCAAGACATAAGAACATTGTTGACATTTGCTAAAGTTAGAATATAAAAACCAACACTTGTAAATTTATGACAATCAGATTATCATTACTTCCTTCTATAACTCTGTTTGGTCTCACCGTACATGGTTTAAAAATAACAATCATGACTTATCTAATAAATAAAATGGTTACCTGATATAAATAAAGTGCACAAATAGAGTCCAGTATAAGTTTTATTTTCTGGAATATTTATAATACTTGAAGTA